CCTCTACGTTCTAATGATAGACCGACCGCATCCCCCCATGGTTGCTCTACATTCTAATGATAGAAAGCCTACCACCATGGGTTGCTCTACATACTCATGATAGACCGCCTACCACCATAGGGTGCTCTACGTTCTAATGATAGACCGACCGCCTACCACTAGGAGTGCTCTACGTTCTAATGATAGACCGCCTACCACCATGGGTTGCTCTACATTCTAACGATAAACCGACCGTCGACCATCATGGGGTGCTCTACGTTCACAAAGTAGCCATCACCATGCGGCCAATGCTATACCTAGTCATACAAATAGCAATGAGCAAGACAGACACCACCCAACAGCGAACGTGGGGCATAACCAACTGCATGACGAGTGGGGATTCATGCTATAGAACGTGGAGGAGTGGGAAGATACACGTGGGACACGTGGCACAACTAATCATGGAACATAGGCCTGCCATCAGGTGCCAATTAATACCACAATGTGGGAAAAATGTATGGACTCTTGAAACCCGAACTATCAGAATTTCAATATTNACAAATCATGGAACATGGGCGTGCTGTCAAGTGCCTATAAATACCCAATATGAGAAAATGTATAGTTTCTTGAAAAACCGAACTATCTAAATTCCAATATAGTCTCTCCATATTCTTTAGTTCTGAACACTAATTCTCATGCCAGATGTACAATGGAGGAGAAAGCCCCGACCTCATTTTGCAGGTGGTAAAAACTGATCGGATCAACCAGAACACCAGTCGCATCAGGGAAATTTACTTGACAACTATTTCAGAAATATTAAACTGTCTAATGAAATCATGGACACGAATCAAATCAAAGCGCTTTGAACCCTTTCCCACCACTTTATCATCTCTTATATAAGCCTTTCTCAAAACGATACCGCAGGTTTCAATTAGACCCACAAATCTTGGCCTTGCCAACTCATTGCCTCCGTGATTTCCTTACCTACAAAACCTATGTACATTATTTGACGATCAAGAAATTGAAGATTTTTTTTTTTTTCTAATGGCGAA